GGGGAGGGGCTGCTGGAGACGGAGAGCGCCGTGCAAAGGGCCATCCTGGCTGAGGCCAGCCAGGGCAAGCTCCCAGCCTGCTGCGGCTACGTGCCCAGCACGGTGCCGTAGGCTCGAGGTCGGCGTGTGCCAGGGCCTGGGTGGCCTTGCGTAGAGCAGGAAGGGCAGAGGGCTGCAGGGACTGATCCTGCGGCACCTCCCTCTCATCAGCACCTTGCTCCGTCCCCGTCCCCCTCGCGCTGCCTGGCGGAGGGGTGGGCGGTCACCAGGCAGGAGCAGGATGGGGGGGGGGGTCTGTGGGGCTGCTGAGGGCCCTGGAGCAGATGGGGAATCCTTAGGGGTCGGGTGTTGTTAGTATGCTGTAGGTTAGACTGCAGGGATGGCTGTGAGCAACCGCAGAGAAGGGGAGGGGAGCAGAGACACAGGGAAGTCGTAGGTCTGCAGGGAGCAAGAGGAAAGAAAGCTTGGAGGGGCCCGTGCTGTGCTGCAGCGAGGGTCCGTCCTGGGCGCAGACCCTTTGCAAGGGATGCTCTCCCTGGAGCTGTGTCCCAGGGAGGCCGTGGCTCCCAGGCCCATGCTGCCAGCCCCAGGGGAGTCTCAGTGCCCAGGGCTGGGCTCGTAGCCCCGGCAGCAAAGGCTGCAGCTGGGTTCAGCTTGCTTACCTGGAAGTAGACCCGAGGTTGCCATTTGAGAAGCTTGGGAGCTGCTGTTGCTGGCGATTTGTGGGGCAGAGCAGAGTTAACGGCTCTCCCTTGGCCTGCAAGGAGATCAGCAGCGGCTCCAGGTTTTAAACAGCCGAGGTGGCCCTGATGGTCATGGGTCATGTCCCATGCGCTGCCTTCCTGGGCTTGCTTTCACCTTCGCAGCCCTGTCCGAGGGTGCCCCCGCGCCCCGCTCTGCCTCCAGCGGGCACCTGGATCTGTGGGCAGCGCTGAGCGACGCAACCGGCAGCACCTGGCTGGCGGTGCCGGAGCTGGCGGGACGCCGTCGTGGCTCTGCTCTGCGGGCAAGGCAAGAGCCCTTGGTGGCAGCAGAAG